GCCCGGGCTCCGGCTCCGGCTGCTGGTGAGTCGAGACGACGACGACCTGTCATGTCCGTCATCCCGGCGATGGTCGCGACGGCCGTTCTGGGGGCTCCGGCGCCGGCTCCGGCGTTGGCGCGAGTGCCAATCCCCGCGAGCTCTCCCACCTTCGTTACCCTGCGCACGACCCCCGCGAGCTCGCCCACCATCGTCACGCCGCGCCCGACCCCCGCGAGCGCTCTCACCATCAGACACGACCGAACCTTGTGTGCCCCACCGGTCCTTCCTCGAAGCTTTGGTCGACGCCGCTTGGTTCCCGTAATGTTTCTCGTTAAGCCGGGGAGAAACTTGCTGCCTGAAGCGTGAGTCCTTCCCGATTGATCNCCCTGGAGTCCGGGAAGGCAGTACCGGCGGTGCCCTGTGCCGCCGATAATATCCAGCGAGCCTCGTGTTCGTCCTCTTGGTGAAAGAAGATGTCTGCCGATGGCGTATCGAGGGGGCGACCGAGAAAGGCAACGTCGGCAGCAAGGAATTGGTAGTAGAGCGGGGATGTGGCAGCTGACCGTGGGTTGTCGAGGGTGACCTCAAAGCTCGTAGCAGGTCGTGGATGCGTCGATGCTGCCTTCTGAGACGGCGACACGTCGGGGCTGGGCGAACGCGGAGAGGTGACGACCCGGCGAGGAGCAGAGGAGGCAGGCAACACGGCGGGAGGGGGGGGGGGGGGCTGAGCGGCCGAAGTCTCGACGGGGCGAAGACGATTCCTCCTCTCTTCGAACTCGTGGCGAGCCTTCACCGTGTCGTTGTATAGTTGCCTCCTGGCCGCTCGCCGCTGTTCTATCGCGCGCCTCTCCGCTTCCTCGCGCTCCCGCTCCCGTTGCACGGCCCGCGCAGCTTCTTCCTCCCTCTCCCGCTGAGCTGTTAGCTCCCGAGCCCTCTGAGCGGCCTCCTCTTCTCGGGCCCGTTGCTCCGCGTCCTCCGCTGCCTTGTCGAGCTCAGCCTGCAGCCGCTGGCTGAAGATGGTCTGGAGTTGTGTCCACGCGTCGGCTTCATCGTTAGACATGTCCACAAACTCCTCCTCGTCTAGGTCAAAATCAACAGTGGGGACGGCAAGGGGGTGAGGGGAGGAAAGGCGGGCCGCGTCCACAATGTCCTGGAGGGTGATGCTGCCCGAGCGGTAAGCTGCAGCCAGAGCCTTGGGGCTGTCCGCCTCGATGTCGCGAAGAAGACCTTGTCCATAGACTTCACGATGGTCCGGGGAAGACTGGGATGCGTCCTCCCCCTGTGAAGACTGGGACGCGTTCTCCACCTCCTCTTCTTCAAAGTCCATCAGTTCCTCCGACTTCTCCGACATTTCTGCTTCTGAAAGAAAAGCGAGAGAACCGGGGTATTCCCGATCACGAGTAGAAACAGCAATGGCGGGGGCCACGGCGGTGGGGGCAACAGCAGAGCCGGGGACAGCAGAGCCAGGGACAGAAGACGCGGTAAAAGTGGGTGCAACGGCCGGAGGGTCCTGCCTGGGTCCAAACGGAAAGCGAAGATATCCGCAAGAGAGCATACGCCCGGCCAGAAAAGCTTGATGTACCCTTGGTTGAAGCGGATCCAACCAATCATAAAAGGCATCCAGAAGCACTCCATGCCATGTACCAACAGCAGTAGAAGCTAGCACAAAAGGGCCTGTGTTATACGAGGAGACTAGTTTGTCTGTCCAAAACTCGCGCAGCGCAGCACGACGTTTTGCCGCAACAGGCGCTGAGGTGCGGGGAAAGACCGCAGTGGGTTTGCGCGGCAGCAAAGGCTCCAACTCGAGGTCTTTTACATGCATAGCCGATGGCCCAAAAAAAAAAGTGAGTTGTTCTCGAAAAATGAAGGGCAGATCGGTGGTGTATCGAACGCCCAACTTGTGTACACATAAAATTCGCCATGTCGAAATACGTGGAGTCAAATCAGAGAGCACCACGGGGAAGTCGGCGGATGCAGGCCGGTAAGCCGGCACAAAAGCAGTAGGAGCAGTAGTAGAAGCGGGGAGCATGCTGTCATCTCGAGCCCCACTAAACAGGGGTTGCAGCTCAGGCCGCTGCCGCCACAACGTATCCGCCACAGAAAGAACTTCATGCACTCCCGAAGCAGACAAAATGGCTCGTGATGGGCATTTCATGTAAGAAAAATCGGGAGAATCACCGCGGCGCCCTCCTATGCGCGTATCACTAGCAAGGTCCCAGTCTCGTGAGCGACGAGCGAAAGCATCATGAGCCGGCATCCCGCAGGTAATCGCCAATAAGGGCGAAGTCTAAATTCTCGTGGGTGGTGAGACCTAACAACAAGCAACGTGGTGGTCGTGAGCAAAGCGTGCCTCGGCGCACGAAAAGGGAAGAATCGCGTCCAATTCTCTCTTACCGTGCCTGCCAGACTGACGCCAAGTTTAAAGGAATGCCCGCCCGACGGTGGCTTGCCTCCTAGATGTAGTAGATGTAGATTCTGCCGTAGACACTCTTGTCCACGAGCACGTTGAGATGGGAAGGTTGCTTGTTATTGCAGAAGCGGGTCTGCTACAGGTCTGAGGTGAGGCGGATTGCCCTCAACCTGGGGGCACGCAGATAGCTAAGTCCCGATGGGGTACGTCCTAAGAGGGTATACCTCCTGACGTCCCCCATCTTAATCTAGACCGACTGTGTACCCTATCTGTGCCATACAGCAGCGCTCCTTAACATAAGGCCACTCCCCAGAAGCGAAATGTATCCAGCGGCAACGTCTCGCTATCGCCACAAGGTCCTGTACCCCCCTCATGAAACTAAACAAATGCAGAAACACCGCATGATGCCTCACCCGCACGCTGTAGTACCAACAACGAAAACTACCCCGTCATTATGTTGCAAGCTCCGTGAGGCGAACATTGGGGTTTGTCACCCCTTTGCGCCTCCCGCTCCCTTCCTTTCTTATTAAGACATTTCGTATTGTGTGACCCAGATTGAGCTATGTTTCTTAATCCGTTTTTCTTATTTTTCGTGAAAAAGTGAGCCTCAATTTCTTGACAAAATATTGCTTAACTGCGGGCGCCAACTGTATGGGCCAAACGCGACATAACGTGGGCCTGGACTTGGTCATCCGCACGCCGGAGCTCCGGCTGGCGGTCACCGCCGGAAGCCAAGGCCCGAGCGTGACCCTGAGTCGGAAACCCACCGCTCTCAGCAGCACCAACATCTGCGGATGATTGCGTTGTTGAAGCCACGTGACCTACTACTGGTGAATCCACGNCCCAACCGATAGGTGAATGCTCCGTCGCCATCCCAGGACACGTTCGAAGGAGACGCGAAGATTGCACCTCAAAGTAAGCGGAATTGGAGCTGAACTGGGTGTCGTCGCCATCCCAGGACACGTTCGACTCCAACGCGTAGATTGCACCTCCCTCATTGTTAGCGAAGTTGGAGCTGAACTGGGTGCCGTCGCCATCCCAGGACACGTTCGACTCCAACGCGTAGATTGCACCTCCATTATCGTAAGCGGAGTTGGAGCTGAACTGGGTGCCGTCGCCATCCCAGGACACGTTCGAAGCATACGCGTAAATTGCACCTCCATCATAGTTAGCGGAGTTGGAGCTGAACGATGTGATTCCGCTTAACGAAACGCTAGAGTAAGCCGCCGAGATAGCCCCACCAGACAAAGCGCTGCCATTGCTCAAAAGTCATGTCCGAGAGGTGCAATGTTGAACCCCCTTCTACAACGAACAGTTGCGTACTGCCACCCCCATCCGCGATTGCGCCTGGTCCAGTCCCAGTGATGTTGAGCGATGTGCCATCGCTGACGCGGATTGTTGTTGTCACGAAAACTTCCTCATCCCACTGTACATTGAAGTCACCGTTCGAACATATAACGGAGTTTGCCAGATCATCCGCGTCTCCGGTGCTGCCAACGGTAAGGGACCTGTTGGCGACGTTGCACTCCTGAAGTTCTTGGCTCCGAGCGACGGCTGCTATGTAGCCCATGCACACAACCTGGATGAGACCCATCTGCGCCAAAGACGGTAATGGTTTCGGTGGTCGAATTGAGCTTGAAGTACTGACTGAGGTTAATGCGCCAGGTGCAATCTACGCGTCTTCTTTGACCGTGTCCTGGGATGGCGACGGCACCCAGTTCAGCTCCAACTCCGTTAACTCTTCTGAGGTGCAATCTTCGCGTATTTGTCGACCGTGTCCTGGGATGGCGACGTCACCCAGTTCAACTCCAACTTGGGAGGTGCAATCTTCGCGTATTTGTCGACCGTGTCCTGGGATGGCGATGTCACCCAGTTCAGCCCAAACTCCGCTTACGATGATGGAGGTGCAATCTACGCGTATTCTTCGACCGTGTCCTGGGATGGCGACGGCACCCAGTTCAGCTCCAACTCCGCTAGCTTTTGTGGAGGTGCAATCTACGTGATGAGTACTTCCGAATTATCCGACGTCACCGACGCGGTATTCATCAACAATCGTGCAGGAAACGGGGGGGCGGTGTATATTTACGCTGGAGAATTTCAAGACAGGCCTGCTACAATTTCGGGGTGCAATTTCTCGAACAACGTGGCGGAGGAGGCCGGCGGGGCTGTGAACACCTTGGCCGTAAGCAATTTTTCTCTTCTTGTCATTTTGAGGGCAACTCGGCAGGTGAGGGTACCAAGCTATGAGCATTCGTTTTTTTGCAGATGTTAAGTTCTTGGGAGGGAAACGCGTTAGCTTCTGATTGCACCATATACAACCGGTCGCCACCAATCCGCTTTGCCAGATGTCGGCGGAGCTATGAGGCCCGGTGGTGACGCGACTGTCAGCGACTGTGAATTCCTCGACAACATCGCTTACAGCCGTGGACTCGCTGTTGATGTGGTCGAGTCTGGGAATATCAACAACTCAAGGTTCAACGGAAATTAGCTGTCCTGCGGGAGTGATTCGTTTCGAAGCGATACGGAGCAGGTGTGTTCGGCGGTAGTGATTTGCTGGTGTTTCCTGCATCTTTGTTTCTTCTCCTAGGTGTATCGTGACACATGCCTCTCGACCCTGTGGAGACTAGCCCGAGGCTTCGTCTGCCACGTATTTGCTTCACCACCAGATGGTCACAGTCACAGTCCACCTTTTCCGCCTTAAAAATGCAGGAAGACCCCAATGTACGCTTTGAGACAGTGTGCCTCGAATGTCCTGCTTGGGACGAGTGCTTCGAATGCACCATCGCGGACGGTACCGTCACGCCGACATGCGAGGTCCCATTGGAGCACACTGCGGCCGACGAAGATGGATTGACGTTGGAAACGCTCAAGATTGATGAAGGCTACTGGCGTGCAACTACCGAAAGCGTCATCATCCTGGCGAGTTACAATGCGAATGCCTGCGCAGGGGGAAAAACGGGAGCGGACAGCTTTTGTGCCTCAGGATACCAGGGAACATGTGAGCGAGAAGTGGAAGATAGAGACGTACGAGCTTGCTTGTGATGATTCTCGGAAGGTGTCAGAAACCTTGTTTGCGTTTTTGCGCGTTTCTCACCCGTACCCTTGTTACCGCGTGCGTTTGCCCATTTCTACCTTTGCAGATTGCGCAGTGTGCAAAACCGACTATTCTCCATCGCTCGCTCACATTTGCACGCATTGCTCGAGCTCAAGACGCCAAGGACTCATGTGCATCGCTGCCATCGCCGTGATTGTCACGGTCTTGGCTTTTGTGGCAATTTTCCAGTACATGTTGTCGACGGAGCATGAAGAGGGGATCTTGTGGTGCTTCCGTCGCAGGGTACTTGGAGCGGTTCCCGTCCAGTCGTTGAAAATCATCGTCGTCGTGTGGCAGATTTTGACCCAGGTGCGCCCCCATTGTACACAATCGGTTGTTGTAGAGCGAGGAAGCTCGATAGAGCACTGAGCGAAAGGACGGGTACACACACGTTTGGATATTAGCGAATCGAGTCGGGGGCTTGACCGCCATGTCCTACCTCCACCTGAACGAAAAATGCCTTTTTCCCGCGCAGTTTGCTGACACGGCCAATGTCACCTATCCTGGCTTGTACCAAGACTTTCTTAGCGCGATCGACGTGATCAACTTCGACATCGGTTCCGTGCTCGCGGTCGGGTGCTTGTGGTACGAGGTGGACTTCCACGACCGACTTCTCGTCAATACCATAGGACCGTTGGTTGTTGCTGGATTTTTGGCGATGACGTACGGGATCGTGTTGCGTAGGTACAGCGCATCCGGCGGCACTGGTGGAGTAGAAAAGATTCGCCACAAACATCAGACGGCCCTACTGTTCTTGACGTTCCTGGTGTATTCCTCAGTTTCATCAACGGTGTTCCAAACCTTCGCTTGCGAGACACTTGATGACGACGTCGAATACCTTCGGGCGGACTACCGTATTCATTGCACAGATGCTAAGCACAAGGCCTTTGAAGTGTACGCAGCGATCATGATTGTTGTATACCCGGTGGGAATCCCCCTGTTTTATGCTTTCCTGTTGTTTCAACATCACCACATTCTGGCCGACGCTGGTGCGGACAAGACAGTAGCTCTGTCGATTTCCGGGCTGTGGGAGCCGTACAGGCCCGAGCGGTTCTATTATGAAGAAGTCGAGTGCGGACGCCGTGTCAACCTGACGGGTGTAGTCGTCTTTATCTTTCCGAACGATGCGGCCCAAATTGCGATCACCATGCTAATTACTTCATATTTTTCGTTGCTGTTCGAAATATTGTCGCCGTACGGGTCTGAGTCCGACATGTGGCTTTCGCGGGGGGGTCATGTAATTGTGTTCCTCAGTATCTTTGATTTGGTGCTGCTGAAAGTGGATGTGTCTGGTGAGAGCGACCAAAGCCAGGCTGTATTTTCCGGAGTGTTGTTGGCAGGTCATGTGTTGATGATTCTTGTCATCGTTGTCGAGGTGGTTGGCATCTGTTACGCTTCAGGGATGAAGCGAGTTGTCGGAGCAGCGTCGTCATCTGAGAGTTCGCCGGGGTTGAGGCCACGCCCAGGATCGGATGATCCTGCATTTGAGAGCGTTCCCCGCATCGTGGCCGTCGTTCATGCGGCGAAGTTCAGTGTCAGAAGAGCCCGGACCGACTCGGAGAATCGCTGGGATAATGATCGTAAACATCCACAGAGATACCCCTCCTCCAGCCTAGTGTCTGTGGTATTGATATAATTCGGTGTGGTTGTGGTAAATAAATAACGTGAACAATAAAATATCTGCCTGTCTACTTCACCCACTTCTCCTTCCGTGACAACTTGAATTTTTCCAGTGTACGCGGCTAGACAACCTTTGGTCTTGAGGACATTTTGAGCCTTACGTGCGTGGTATGTCCCAACGGCAGCCATTCCTGTGTGCACAAGTAGTCGGTGGGATAGGCAGCCCCTTCGACCACTGTTCCGGAGTGGGGGCGCGTCGAAGCCAGTGACGCCAAATTGTGGTGGAAAAGCTTAAATCGCCCGCACCCCACCATATAAAATATCTTTACCAAACAACAAACAATGCCACTCCTCATCCCTGTCGCAAAAAGAAAGGCCGGTGAGACGGTGACGCCGACCTGTCCCGAAGGTGACGGTCCGTTCACGTGTCTCGGGTGCTCCCAGCCGCTGGTCCTGAGGCAGGGTGACAAAAAACGGTGGCATTTCGATGCTCTTATACCGCTTTGCACCCGTGGTACGACTTTTCCACTGCGTGACGAAGGCGGCCACACTTTGCGACGAACTGAAACCTAGCGCACGGACGACGGGAAAAACTGATGGCGGTAGAGAAGCAAGAGTCCTCGAACTATCGTCGACAGTACAACGAGCGAGTGAAAACCACCGTGGTCATCAAAGACGACAACACGCTACTGCGCAACGGATTGCTGATGAAAAAGTTATTTTTGAAGCCTGGCGACAGCATTGACCGCAGCTACGGGTGGGCGAAGGCTGCCGAAGTGTAATAATACCCCTCCCAGCTCCCCCAACTGCGCCAACCGCGCGTCGGGGCCTGTGCGCCAAGTATGTACCGCCACCACTTTCGTTTTCACGGGAGCGTGTCGCATGCGCGCAGCCTTTTGACAATGCGAGAAGTGTATTGAGGAATGTTTCGTCCCCCTGAGCGACACAAACTTCCCCACGTACTTGTTCAAAACTGAGCGCGTTGTAGCTGGTAATCGCAAAAATACTGATTTTTTTACGAGGCCTAAGCGGCGTCAGCATTGCGTAGCAGTTGGCTGCACCGTGTGTGGCGCTGCCGAAGTATCCCCCTCTTCCCCTTCCCCCCTGCTCCCCCCGCGCACAATCGCATCCTGCTGTGCCCGCCACGACGGGGCGCGTCGAAAAGTGGCCCCGAAGCGCGCCCCGCGGTACCGAGTAGGGTGAGGCACCAGACGAACATGTGATACAATCCCAACAACATTATGTCAATATATACTACAATAGAGATGGACTGGTACGACAGAAATTTAATTTATGGTGTTGGTATGATCTACAAGAACCGAGAAAACCAACATGTAATTGATGCCGGTCTAGAGCAAAGTGCAAGAGATGCACAGCAAATTTTTTTATCTCCCTCATCAACCACGAGACAAACAGTATCCTTAATCAAAAATACGGGGGTTCCAAGATCACCGTGTACACAAACAATGAGGAGCCCCTAGTGCTGGGGGATACGGACGTACGGTCATACTTTAAATATGAGTTTGAAGGAAGTACAGATCTATTGATACCTATTAATTCACTCATCAGTCTTTTTGGAAGATGTCAGGGACCCGTCTTCTTCACACATATGCTCGCGTGTTCGACGAACCCAGTGAAACTATTATTGTTCCCTCTCTCAAGCGACTGCTAACATTCCTGTGGGAACAAGCATCATCAAGGGAGCGTGAGATATTTTGCCATTTATTTTTTGATCGCACTGGACATTATTGGACAGCGGCAAGAGCTTCTTCAGCGCGTTTTAGATATTTCGCCACCAGAAGAAGCAGAATCACTAGAGATAGGATCTAAAGAGTTACTTCTGTCAGGCTTTCTTTTGGGGGATACATATTTATATTCAGTCCATCTTCACAGGTCATACAGATGTTCACAACGGGGAATCAACTTAATTTTTGCTGAAACAACTCGGCAGCACCCTCTTTTTGCAGGAGTCGGGCCATGCGAGGTAAGAAACACAATGTGGCTACACAGGTGGCCATATCTCGGCGAGTGCAGAGGTACAAGCTCGCATTGCGCGGGCGTCAAGACGCGGAAAACAGGCGAACAAGATCGACCTCGGACCAGTCAACGCCAATGATATGGGGATGGAGTGTAAACGCATCGTAGAACGCGTTTTCGTTTGAAGTTGGCGTCTTGTTTGAGAGTAGATGTGACAGATTTGCGTAGAATAGGGTAAGATGTTATCATGAACGGAGATGAAAGGGCTTTTCCAACACGGAGATGTAGCATGGATCAAAGCATTTGTTGGATNAAAAAAAAAAATGTTTACTTACTTATTATGATAATGAAACATGTATCGTACCCCACAAGTGTCACTCCACTTTCGTCCGCGTCCGAAAACCATAAAAAAAAATGGAGGATTCTATTTACGTCACCGGTGGCGTTATTTCTTACTACATTATACGTCACCGCCCGTATCTCAGCCCACACAGAGCTTCAATTGGCACAAAATAAATTGCGTTGTGTAGCTATGACCCACACCAATCATAATACAAGCCTTTCGACGGTCAAATCCGATAATAAGTGGTTGCGGAGATTTGCTCAAAAGGGGGCTCAGCAGTATGATACTGCATCTACCACAAAAATATCCGACTGTAACTTCGCGCAGAGAGCTCCGATCGACACCAATAGCTTAAGTGATCGCTGTGAACCGTGGAAACACAACTCGAGTTACATCGTTGGTGTGTCGATGAGAACTCTCTGCGAGGAGGCACGGTCGTTTTATTTATGGCAGATACAGTATATCATACCGCTGAGCCCCCTTTTGAGCATATCTCCGCAACCACTTATCGGATTTGACCGTCGAAAGGCTTGTATGATTGGTGTGGGTCATAGCTACACAACGCAATTTATTTTGTGCCAATCGAAGCTCAGTGGGCTGAGATACGGGCGGTGACGTATATAAGAAATAACGCCACCGGTGTGTGGAAAAGAGGGTTTCGTCCTCGACAGACGTTGGGGAGTTTCAACCTGTATGAAGGTGTTCTCCACATTACCCCCCCCTTTTTCGAGGCTTCTTCTTGTTTGCTAGGCAAGAGAAGTTAAGTCTTCTTGGGGTAACCGGGACCCGACCGGCTGGGGGCGAGTAGAACCACCTTTTTTCCAACAATCTTCTGTGCGTGTTGCGGGTGCGCCACTTCCGCCACGCATTGCCAGAAGTTTCGAGTTCGATAGACAGTGCGCATCGTTTCTCGGCCCACCCACCGTTTTTCCTTTTCCGTACTCCGGAAGAAAATTAGATGAGTTGTTGTTGTTGTTGACTTCACATTAAACCGTATGCCAGTTGCTAAATGCCAAAATCTAGCAAAGACTCTCGGCCCGTGGTCACGAAAGTGCTGGAGCCATCTGAGGATCTAAAGAACACGCACACGTAGCAAGAAAAAGGTGTACAAGAGCCCGAAGAGGTACTACTACACCTATATATAATCCCTGCAGCACCGTACGCGTGCCCAAAACTGAACTACACGTCCGTCTCACCGTTCGACTAC